ATATGTTCATGTCAAAATGCTTAATAGAGGATGAATCATGCCCAACTATGACCAAAGTACATCATGCTATCCCCTTTTTCCAACATTGAACAGTTGCTTCACCAAGCTACTATAATTTTGAAGGGAAACAACATTGAAAATGGCTCAACTATCTAATTGCTAGGGAATGGAGATAGGGATAACAACATAGAAACTACATTATTCACAGATAATAAAAAAAAAAAAAAAAAAAAAAAAAAAGAGCATGTGCATATGCTCTTTTTAGAAACACGGAAATAAATTTCTCTAAAAATACAAAGTACAACACCCCATTTTAATCATCACAAATCACAAATACAACTTCGTTGTTCACAAATGGCTATAACCAAAGGAAAAGAGCATTGATACGCTCTTTTTATGAACACAGAGAAAATGGGGCGCTATGGGAAATTTATGCGAACACCAAGAATGAAAATCAAAAAGTTCAGTTCTCATAAAAAGCCGTTTCACTTGTGGTATTAAACAAATATAACCACCACAGTGATAAAGATGGCTGATGAATGCGAGCAAAACATGAGAACTAGCAAATAATCCTATTTAAAAAATAACAAGAGCAACAAACCTCGTATAAACATCAGTAAATTAACAAGAACCTTGTATTAGAGGTACTTCAAAGAAATCCAATGTGATAAAAAATAAAAAATTAAGCCATAGAAAATTGAATTTTAATTGACAATCAAATGCATACATATACGTACCTCATTCATAAAGGAGACTGTTGGGCTTTTTGATACCCAATAATCCGGGAGATGATTTAAAACAGTTGTCAAATTATTTATCGATACCATGGACTTGGCGCGGCTCAAAGATGAACTACACTTTTGGATGGTTCGAGTTTGGATTGGATGATTATTTGGTTAGTTGGACCATTTAGTGATTAATATGGAGTTGAATATTGGCCCATTAGTTTAGGTTAATTGGTAGCCCACTTAATGAACCCTAGGCCCAATTAGAATGACATAAACTAACATATATATATATATATATATATATATATATATCTCCCAACCATTTTTGGTGTGTGTGTGTTGTAGCAATGGAGAGGAGAGTTGAGAGAAGAGAGGCAGCCGAGAAAGAGAGCGAAGTCATGTGAGGTTGTGAGAGAGATTCAACCATTGTGATATCTTCTTCTTCCTCTACATACCTTTGTGAAATGCTAAGACCACCACCCTTCTCCTTTGTGGGGTTTGAGAGAGTTTGGGAAGTCCAAAGTAAAGACGAAAGTCTCAGATCGAGTCGAAGTAAATCGGTGTTCGTTTGATTGTTTTCTGAGTCCGGAATCAAGATTTATTGAGGGATTTCTGCTACAAATGGTATCAGAGCTTGTGTTGTTGATAAATCTGTGATTTTTGGGGCTAAAAAAGGATGGAAGTGGTCAGAAACGGATCTGCAAATCAGAGGCAGAAACTGTTCGATTTTTTCAATTTTCTGCCGGATCTGTTTTCGTGTTTTCTGGTGAAACCAAAAGGAGTTTGGAGAAACGGATACCACCATTGGACTATGCAAGTGGAGACGGTTCAGAAAGGTTGGGGCGTCGCTGGCGCGTAGGATTCCAGGTCATGGCGATTGGGGGCGCGTGTTGAAGATTCAGGAGATGGTGTCTTCAACCAGAATGTTTCTGGTGATGATACGGACCCTGCGGTTAGAGCAATACAGTGAAAGTTGGACGATTTTGCACTTGGACGTTCGGGTGCCGGGTGCTGTTTTCGTGTTGCTGTGATTGCTGTTGACTTTAGGATGAACAGTGATATTCCTAAAGTGGTGAATTTGCATGTCTCGATATTTACAGACCTTCAGATGTGGTCCGCTCGGTATCGTATCTTTGCTTTTTATTATTGCAGTTGAAATAAATGTGTAGAGTAATTTATTTTTTGCATCAGCCATGAAGGGGTAATCATTGCCTGTTGCTAGACCTAGGAATTATTTGTTAATTATTTGCCTTAAATTCTTTGTAAATTTGCTGTCAATTTTTCTACATTATTAGAATTGCATGTGGCCTTAGGAAAGTTTACTGGACTATTCTATGTAAATTATGTTCATACTTTACTTGTGGTCATTATTTGGCATTGGTGGCAAATGTAGGTCTAAGGTAAGTGCGAAAAATAACATATATTTTAACTGTGGTAAAATTTGGACATAGTTGAAAGAGATTGTCCTAAGATGATAATAAAAGGAAAGATGAGGATAAAGACAAGGCGAATGTGACTTTAGGGTCAAGTAGTGATCCTAGTGAGGTTTATTGAGAGAATAAACCTGGTTCTTGCATTGCATCTGTGTGTAATCCTTTCTGCATGTATATGATCACTTAATTATATTGCAATGTTGATGTTACACTTTCAATATGTTTGATGTGTGTAATTGCATGAATTAGTGTGACTTATTACATTGTGTAATATGTTTACATGTATAGTGGGTTGAGATTTATGGCGTACTCTATTTGCTCTATGAGTAGTGTGAGAGTGTGGTAGTGAGAAGAATGTTGGACAGCCATTTCTCTCATTTATCTTTGTGAGCCTGTGTGATTTGTGAGATTATGTGAGGCAGTCATGTTAGGGTTACCTTCTTTATCTGTGAGCCTCCTTTGTGAGTGTTGTGAAGTAACCGACTCTTTCTTCGATTTTTCCTTGTGAGTGCCACCTTCGCCGTTTTCTTTGTTAATTTTTTGGGAGCATTGGTGAGTGGATTAACCTTTGTGGTCACCGAAATATATTGTTTTGCCATAGTGAGTTTAAGATGCATTAGCAGTGAGTTGGATGTCTTTTGGTAATGTGGAGTATAGATGCCTAGAGGTGCATTGGTGATATGCACGAGGGATGTAGAGTGTGACATTTGGATCACGAGTGGAGATGTGATCAAATGTGTAGAATTCTTTATCTGTGAAAAAGACCCTGTACAGGTGGAATGTGAGAGAGGCACTTTTATCACTTCTATAAGGTGGAGTCCCATTATTCACGTAGGTTGGGAGAAGTGATGTGGTGATAGAGGATTATCCTGAGAGTTTAGGATCTATTGTGACTTACGAGTTAGACATGAGTTGAGTGATCTGTTTAGTGAGTATGGTGGGCGATGAGAGGAGATATGTATTCTCGAGGTGTGAGCAACACGGAATGGGATAGGATAAGTATGGTGAGATCTTTTCTTAAGGTCATTTATGCATGTGTTGCATATGTGGTTGACCGTGATTTGATTAACTAGGTGTTAATCTGTGGTTCTGTGTGAATGTGATTTTGAAAAGATCTGTGTGTTTGTGTGTGTTATCCTATATATCTTCATCGCATAATTATTTGTTCACTATGAATACTTGTTTCTACTTGGGTATTCTTGACCTTAGCCCTAGTGAGTACATGGAGCAAGTATCGTATGTGTTTCAGGTTGGAAACATGAGGTAAGGTCTGTTATTCCAATTTTATTGGATTATCTTGATTGTGCAAGTATAAACTGTGTGTTTTGGTTGCTTGTAGATTATTAGGCATCAAGATGGAGATTGTTGGGTTTTTTGATACCCAATAATCCGGACGATGATTTAAAATAGTTGTTGGATTATTTATCGACACCATGGACTTGGCTCGGCTCGGAGATGAACTACACTTTTGGATGGTTCGGGTTTGGGTTGGATGATTATTTGGTTAATTGGACCATTTATTGATTAATATGGAGTTGAATATTGGTCCATTAGTTTACGTTAATTGGTAGCCCACTTAGTGAACCCTAGACCCAATTAGAGTGACCTAAACTAACCTATATATATGTATTTATCTCCCAGCCGTTTTTGGTGTGTGTGTGTTGTAGCAATAAAGAGGAGAGTTGAGAGAAAAGAGGCAGCCGAGAGAGAGAGGGAAGCCATAAGAGGTTTTGAGAGAGATTCAACCATTGTGATATCTTCTTCTTCCTTTCCATACCTTTGTGGATTGTTAACACCACCACCCTTCTCCTTTGTGGGGTTTGAGAGAGTTTGGGCAGTCCAAAGTGAAAGCGAAAGTCTCGGGTCGAGTCGAGTCGAGGTAAACCGGTGTTCGTTTGATTGTTTTCTGAACCCGGAATCAAGATTTATCGCGGGATTTCTGCAACAGAGACTTCTAATATTTTAATCAAAGATTTAAAACCCGTTCCTTGTTCCAATTACAAACCCAAAATGAATTATAAATTCATTTAATTCGGCAAAATAAATAAATTTAAAATCCGTAATGGGTGAGGAGAAGCGGAGTCGTGGTCGAGGATCAGGCGAGGAGTTGTCACATGGTTGAGGATTTATCTTTCCTGTAATTGGGAGTTATCTGAAATCGGCAATCGGGGGTTTGATTTGGACTTTGGAGTTTTGGGGGTTTATAACTTAATAAATACGTGGTTAAAGGTTAAAGGTTATAATAAGTTAACAGAGTACTCTAGCAAGAGTACTCTTCAATTTCTTTAATTTTGGAAGGCAACTGGTCTAATTTCCCATTAACTAATTACTGAAACTGCCACATTGACATTGAATATTCAGCAACCTATAACCATCGGAGATTCTTTCACCATAGGAAGTCCTATACACTTAATAGTGTGTGACTGATTTGTAAAGTGTATTTTAGTCACCTTCATAAAAGAGAATGAATTTGGGTTATATACACACTACACCAATAATAGGCGCTTTTACAGTGGTCAAAAAACACTGTCAAAAGCCTTTTGCAACGTTCGAACATACGTTGCAGGGGTTGATATTGCCACAGAGTTGAAGGATACGGCAGCGTTTTTTAAACATTGTGAATAACCTTTTTCCAGCATTTTTTGAACGTTGCGACTAACTTTTTTGCAACATTTTTTGAATGTTGTGAGTAACCTTTCGCAGCGGTTTTTAAACGTTGCGAATAACCTATTTGCAACGTTTTCTGAATGTTTCGAACAATCTTTATGCAACATTTTTTGAATGTTGCCAAGTTTTGTTTTTGCATTAATTTATGCATATTGAATTGCAAAATCAAGGATAAATTCAAATACACAAATTTTTGAATTGCATAAAATTGATAATTTCATTACAAATTTTTGAATCATACACTAAAACATTAAATGTGACAATTTCTCTCGTTGCTTGATGTCTAGTTCTTCCACCAATTTACGCTTCGCTTCCAATTCTACCTCAAATGAAGACTTCCTCGTTGTCAATAACGTTTCTTGATTTTCCATTGCTTGATGAATAATATCCTGCATATGAATCAAGGGTAAATGAGATAAGAATAATTAAATAATGTGAGCGCTCCTGCACAAAAAATTTCTATAGGATCCTTCTTTATCACCTCTATTGATGATAGAGGGGTATCTGTCACATAAGGTGCCACAGCACCAGCCCCTCCCAATCTACTCATGCTCAACACCTGCAAGGTTGATGATTTAAACAAGCAGAAATGTGTATGATATTCACTGGTGCAAGAAATTCTTTAGATCTCATTTTAGACACTCCATTTCTGGAAATGAAGGGATGTCAGCAGAGAAATCTCTATCAAATGATTTCTAACATTTCCAGTGTTTATTAAGGGGCAGCATCAAGCCTCTCAAAGTCAATATCATTCACTGAGTACCTATGCAACTAAAGTCATAGAATTCAGAACAACTTCTCTAGAAGCTATTTTCAGCCAAAAGACCAGGGTGTAGAACTTCAAAATCGAACACACAATATTCCAACAATAACTACTCCCTTAGAACAAAACTATGTAAAGACTACAGGATTAAGGCATAAGCATTCGCATATGAGATTCACATTATGATTAAGGTTCAAGTTGGCCATAAATATAATAAAAGAAAAGAGTCTGCCTACAAATGCCAGCTGGTTTATGTTCATCACATGCTATTTGAGCATTGGTTCTAAATTCATAAAAATGCTTCAACAATTTATGAAATCAGTAACAGTGCATGAAATCATATGCATATCGTAAGGTGTGCAACCACAATATATTTTAGCATCTTATATGAAGTATCCTACTTTACTCTTCTATGAAATATACTGAATTTCACAGGAATAACAACTGCACAAATTAAAATATATTCAGCTCAACTTCATATTTGTTTACCTTCACTTGAAGTCTCAGGAACTTCACATAATCCACAATCTCCTCGACCATCACTGCTCTGTCAGTCTGCATAAAAGTTTAACTAAAATGTGTGAACAAAGACTCTTTATACAACCAAATGACCGTTATCCTAATGCAATTGAGAATAAGACAGGCTAAGGAAAATATTAAGTCCTTCATTATCTTTCCCTAAACAGAATTCAGCAAAATGGCCAAACTAATCTTTCATTAATTAGCAATACAAGTAAAAATATTATTAATTAAATTAGAAATAGAGTGCAAACCATTCACTAGTTCTCTTCATGGCAGTGGAAACAGAGCAAGCCATCTTGCTTATAAATCAGAGCAAAAAATAGAACAACCAGCTAAAGATCCCTGAAGATGAGAATTTAACAAGATCAACCAAAACCCTGAAGATTTCAATTTCTCGTACCAACCAAATTTAACAAGATCAATTTCTCTAAATCATAAAGCCCCAAATTCCTAAATTAGAGATCCCCAAATTGAAAAATCGTAAATTGGAAAACACAATTAATTACTGGAACGAATAATCCCTAAATCAAAATTCAAAAACCTGGGAGAAAATGTTAACATAGTAACATAGCAAAGTGCAGACCGCAGAGTTCGGGAGAGGCGGGAGACGGCTGGAACTGTGCAGACGGTAGACGAGAGCAATGGATGAACTCAACTAATCAAGAAGCAAAGTGTAGACTTAGGAGTTTAGAAGAGTGAGAGAGAGAGAGTGTGTCACGCAGCCGAGGGGAGAAACGAGGAAATTAGTGAAAATGGCCGGTTCACCTGCCCTTATTTTCACTTTGTCCTTTTGACTGATTTAAAAAAAAAAAAAATACATTTTAAAAATATTTTTTTAAAAATATCCCTCCATCTTCCTCACTCTCTCGACAGTTTTGAGAAAGAAATTCACTTTCATTGTCAGTCAACCGTCCAGACATCTTTCTCACCGTCAAACTTTCAGTTGCCGGTATCTCATATTGTAAAGGTTAGTTTTTGTGGAGTTATAACTAGATTATTGGATTTTGTCGAGTTTTAATTAGATTATTGGTTGGAATATTATATTTGTGGCGTGAAATGCATGATTTACGCTAGATTTGTGTATAGATGAAGTATATTGGCTTATTTTGATTGTGTGGGAAGCTCCAACTCGTAGAAAATCAGCTGAAAATGGTGGATTCCGGCGAGAAGGAGCATTCGGCTATTGACAACCGGCCGATTGGCTGCTAACTGACTGTTAGAACAGGCGATTCTAACCGGCCCCCTTTTTCATTTCCTAAATTAATTTAAATCATTAAATGTTAGGAATTTTTAATTAAATAATATTTTTTTATTTATCAAATTTAAAGAAATTTATTATTCTAAAATTAATTTTTTAATTCTAATTTTAACTTTTTATTTGAAATTTAGTTTTAAAATTTTATTTTAAATTTAAATTTTCATTTAAATTTTAATTTAAATTTAAAGAAATTTTTTATTTTCAAATTAGTTTTATAATTCTAATTTTAATTTTTTATTTTAAATTTAATTATATTTTTTATTTTATTTTAAATTTAAATTTTCATTTTAGTTATAATTTTAATTTAAAGAAAATTGTTATTTTAAAATTAATTTTCAAATTACTTTTTTAATCCTAATTTTAACTTTTTATTTTTAATTTAATTTAAATTTTTTATTTTATTTTAAATTTAAATTTTCATTTTAGTCATAATTTTAATTTAAAGAAATTTGTTATTTTAAAATTAATTTTCAAAATATTTTTTAAATTCTAATTTTAACTTTTTACTTTAAATTTAATTGTAATTGTAATTTTCATTTTCATTTAAATTTTAAATTTTATTTTTATGGTAATTATTAATTTTCTATAATACTGTAAAAAAATCATATTATTAATTTTTGGTAAGAGTGAAAATTTTTATGAATCTATGTCTTGCGTATAGTAGTTACGATTCGATTCACTTAATTTTTGGTTATTATGCTTCATTCCATTATTTCATGTACAATGTTCTAAAATTCTGTTTCAATTTTTGCAGGATAGATTATCATCTGGATGCAGAGCTGAGACAGATGCCGAGAAAAGTTACATAGAACAGTAACTTTGACAGCTTTACCCAGGCCTGGAGCTGCTTGACGACCAGCATGTAAATATGTTGCGTCAGTCATTTCTGTAGCCTCTATACCCTATGAGAGAATTGCAGTATTTGGGTTAAATGATCAACGCTCTTTTATGTCGGTTGCTGAATCCAGTTGACGGCGATGCCCTCCACTTCGACCCCGGGGGCAGAGTCATCAGCTTTTCCTTGTTCGAGTTTGTCCTGTTGACTGGATTGAAGATTATGGATGATGAGGCAGCTAGCGGTAAGACTCGGAGACGAAATAGGCTTAAGGACACTTACTTTCAGGGACAGGGGACGGTCGCTCTGTCTCAGCTGATAGACGCGATCAGGAGGTGTCACAAGATGTTGGACAGACTGAAGTTAGGTTTGGTCTACATCATTGAGAGCGTGATGCGATGTCACCACAAGAAGACTACGATCGATATCTTCCACCTGGAAATCGTCGACGACATAGATTGTTTCAACAGCTATCCATGGGGCCGTTGATGTTTCGAGAACATCGTCCACATCTTCACAAGACCGCACTTGAAGCCCAAGGGGCCCGTGCGTAAGTACGACACCTACGGATTCCCTTTGGCGCTGCAGGTAAATGATTAACACAATCCATATTAAAATACTTTTCTATTGAATTTGTATGTACTAATTTATGTGTTGCAGATCTGAGCGTATGATACCATCCCCATATTGGGTACCTCTTTTGCGCGGTGAGGGGAGACACGCTGCCCTCATATGCATCATTGGCAAGCATCTCGAGCAGAGGAATGTCCCACCGGGAAACAATTATCGGCTCTCCTCGACGACCCTCATATGAGTAACATAAATTTGTGATTTATATTATATATAATTTAAAATCTCATTACATTATTTTATCTTTTTAAAATGTCAATATGTCAGCTTGAAGTAATAACTCATTTGACACCGTCGATGGAGGAGAAGGCGCAGGATCTTGTGCGTGAAATAGCAGTTTCGTACACCCAAGATAACCAGATATTCGATTCGATCCCCGATAGAGACTGGGTAGTGAATTATTGATTAATATTTTGTATGAGTTAGCAATTATTGAATAAGTTAATAATATGTAAGTTTGTGCAGGACCGCGGGCCAGTTGATCGGATATCACCTCTGTCGTCGGGACCACCTCCTCCCCCTCGGGTGATTATTCTGATGATCTATACCATCGCCTGATTGGATTTATGGTACAGAACATCGGTGCGCTACGTCGAGAGCTGGTAGGAGTTATATCAGAGGAGGTCGGCATGCTGCGTCGAGATATGGTAGAGCAGGTTGACGATCTGGGACGCCAGTTGGTTGGAAGGATCGAGGATATAGCTGATGATGTTAGAGTATTGCGTAGGCATTTAGGGGACCTTCAGGATGAGGTGTAGCAGCCAAGGTGATATAGCAGGCAGACGATGGGGTGACGGAGGTGAAGACTGAGGGGTGATCGAGAGGATAGAGATGGGGGTCGCCATCAGTCGCGGTCGGAGGATGCATTGGAATCTTTTCTTCAGTCCATGGAGGATAGGATGACCCCGATAACGGAGGAGGGGGTAGCCTCGATGGCGGAGTTCGAATGAAGCGTTGACATTGAGTACCAGTCGCTCCAACATGCCGGCAAGGAGTACGCAGTGCCCGACTACATGCTCGAGTGGACCATAAGGATGTGGCCACGTGTTGGGGGGAAGCCATGGAAGGGTTGTACACATATGTACATACCAGTGGTCATGAATTATCACTGCATAGCCTTGGAGATTGTATTCGTTGAGTCTACTATATATGTGTACGACCCCAATCATTCATGTCGACACAATGTCAGCTCGAGCAAAATCTAGAGTCCATTGCTATTTTTTACCCTATGATGACTAGACAAGCAAAATTGACTGTGAAGGATAGATTAGCCGTCGTGCCGGACACGACGACGACGAGGCAGACAATATCGTAAGTGGTTCTAAAATTTTTAAAATTTAATACTTAATTTTTTTTGTTGCACGATACTGATCTAGCTCATTATTGTTCATTTGCAAGGGTGATTGTGCCATTTTTGCAATAAAAAGTACATCGAATTTTTGAATATAGCACATAAGGTTGATAGAATCAACCAATCCTGAATACAGAATTGGCGAAACAAACTGGCATGCAACTTATTCTACTTTGATGGTGACCCATAGATTTATTGTAATTATTAGTTGTATTTTTTTGTAATTACGAAATAATTGTAAACACTGTAAATATTGATTTTTTGTAGTTACGAAATGTTTGTAAACACTGTAATTGATTATTAAATTATGACATCCTTTGAAATATCATAGAATAAATGGAAACATTGTTTATTTAAGATGAACAATATTACCAAATGATCTAACTGTCATTTAGAGGAATATGACTTGTACAATATTGGCGAGTTTGCCCTACTGATTTGCACCGGCTACACCTACGCGGTCAAAAAAATTCTCCGGTAGATGGTATTCTAGACGTACTTGGACGTCCAGGACCATGCATTCAATAAGAGGTAGCAACAATGTATTGAGTGGATGAATATGGTCGGAGACTTCCCATTCAACTTCGTTCGGCAGAAGAAATATTGCATCAGCTTATGCAGCTCTCCAGTAATCAGTCGTGTAATAATGAGAACACAACGTTCTAGCTGCAAATCCTTAATACATAGCAACCGCGACTACATGCTCACATGGAAAAGTCTCCAACTGAAATTTTTTACAAGTGCATGTGTTATCAGTCAAGTCCATCATGTATGTCGTATTACGTGCACATTCCACTGAGAAGTGTGACTCGTCTAGTGGTTCGACATTCAACTGTCTCGTAAGTTCTGCAGTTTTGAACAGCATGTCCTCTTGTGCCGGCGCTAGCACGCTAATGCAATTTTATGATTCCGCACGTCAATCGTGAAACCACTGCTGCAACTTGGTATGGATGTTCTCAATCAGTGCAATGGTGGGTAATTCTCGATCATTATTGAATAATGCATTCAGAGACTCCGCGTTATTTGACATCATCATGTTGTATCGACGTCCTAAAAAAATGAACGCGCCCAATGTTCAATCCTCATTTTCGTTAGATAATTCCATGCATCGAATGATTTACTTCATATTCCAACCATGAACTTATTACACTTTTCAACACTGTAGGCTTTAGCTGCTCTCCTAAACAATGAAACGATACGTTTGCCCCGATACCTGGTCTTCAGATTGCCTTGAATATGATACATGCAATACCCATGATGTGCATCTGAAAAAACTTCAGCAATACCATTTATTAAAGGCTGTCCCCGATTGATTACAAATGCAAGGTCTTCGACTTCCCCAATTACTTCTCTTAACTTTGTGAAAAATCACCGCATCGACAGGTCATTCTCACTATCAAATATGCAGAATGCAAGAGGGTAAATTTGGATGTTAGCATCTTGACATGTATGAATAATCAACTTGCCTTGATATTTAAATTTCAGTGTTGTACCATCAACTAGAATTAGGGGTCACATTGCATTTCGAAATTTTCGAATGCATTATCCAAGAACTATGAAAAAGAATTTGAAGCAATTCCCACCCTCCCTCTCAATAAAAAATTTCGAGCCAGGATTAGTTTTCTCCATATTATGGCAATACCTAGTCAATTTAGCATAGCTTTTCTCTACAAAGCCCATTAA